CTAAGTGAATTAGATGAAATTTGGTAACTTTTTTTTTAATGCCAGAATGAATTAGGCAGATTGACACAGGTGAACAAAAATAGCTTGCCTTCTCCCTCAACTCTGCTTTGTAAATTTTCATTTTGTTCAAGTTCCAGACAAAACAACCCCAAGTGATCCTCAGTGAGTCTGAGACTCCCGAAGGAGTTCTCTTCTTTATTAGAAATGATAGTCAAGTTTTTCTTCCCCCTCAAAAAAAAAAAAAAAACTGTAATCAAGAGCTCCTTTTTGCTGCCATTCTCGGCAAATCTGGAGTTGCTGACATCTTGTGGGAGGGTGGAGCAGCTGTCAGGTTCCCCAGGTTCTAAGGGAGACAGACTTTGTCCCGGCTTGCTGCTGGCCTGGGACAAGCCATCCACAATCTGGGTTTCTTGTCTGGGTTCTCTCAGCTCGGTCATGCCCCTCGACAGAGCGCTCAGAAAGCAACCAGTCAATTACAAAGACTTGATTCCTGCCGAACAAAGAACTCCAGCATCGGGAAAACTTTCTGGCCGAGAGTCTCTCCCTCAGTCCTAGTGGAAAGGCGAACCACTTCCACCTAGTCCTGGAGAAAACCAGTGCAAGGCAGGAGTAGTCAGCCCAATCGTAGCGGTACCGCCCCGCATCCGCAGATGCTGTTTTTCATACCAGCTGCATCCTGAGCGAGGCGCGGAGATAGTGATTAGTAGTGGTAGTGGGAGGCTCGGTCGGAGCTTTCTTAGGAAGAAAGCTCTTTGAATGAGCCAATGAAAGCTGTTGCCAGGGAACCAGATGCCATGAACAGGCCACTCCAACAGCGTAAGAATACAGGCATACAAGCCCCGGAGTGCTGGAGTGAGCATTAAGGGCCTCTTGGCAGCTGAGTCCTGCAAGGCTGGTTAACCCTTTGTGCACCTAGGCAGGAGCAGGCTGTCAGGAGGAGGAGGGTGGTAAAATCCAAAGAGCCAAGTCACCCGAGCTGCCAGCACCTCCCACTGAAATGACTATGGCAAAGCTGTCCTTCCTACTTGGCTGACAACTCCCCTGGTCCCGAGTTAGGATGGGTAGGCATCCGCAGAGGAGGTGAGGGGGGGGGGGCTGGCGATCGATCACATGATTGTAGAGGGCACTGCTCAGGTTACTTCGCTAAGTCCTCCTAACTTGGGCCTGCCTGGCTTCCGGCTACTGGCCTCAGGATGGCAGACTCTGCCGCCACATGTGTGACGAAGAGGAGCAACTTCCTCTCTCCCCGTATCCCAGAGCCTCCTGGACCAGTCAGAGACTGGCAGCCTACCCTCGTTTTAAGAACGTGGTCTGGACGGGCACAGGCTAGCCCTTTGGAGAAATGAGGAACAGACAAAATCGCCAAGCCTACCTCCCAGAGAGAGATGCATGCTGTCTTGTCCCGATGCTCCTTCTCCTTTTCTGTCAACCCCAATCAGGCCTTCACTCTGGGGCCCGTTTCTGTGCTGTCTGGTTACACAGCCTCTACAGAGGAACATGAAGATTAGTTCACAAGAGATTCTGAGTGTTTCCCTAAAGGAACCCAAGCTGAACACGGGCAGTGAGGGTCCCTGGGCGATTAGGGGCTTCTTGGTTCACAGCGCCAACTCTAGCAACATGTGGGCCTTGACAGGATGTTCTGGGAGCACCCTGGCTTCCTTGACAGGATGTTCTGAGAGCACCCTGGCTTCCTTGACAGGATGTTCTGGGAGCACCCTGGCTTCCTTGACAGGAATGTTCTGAGAGCACCCTGGCTTCCTTGACAGGAATGTTCTGGGAGCACCCTGGCTTCCTTGACAGGATGTTCTGGGAGCACCCTGGCTTCCTGACATCATCCTTTTGCCTCACACTCTCACCGGAAGTGCTAGCTCTGCTGGGGCCGTGGATGGAGACGCAATTTGAACATTCAAAAACAAAATCTTACCAACGTAAGCAAATGTTGCAAGAACACGTGTGTGCCTTACCGCCTGCGAGTCACTCCCAAAGAGATGCAGTTTCTGTGTTGAGTTAGTATTTCTCAAATGGATCGGTGAACAGTTCATAGGCGGACTCCTCGACAGTCAGAAAACAGAAATTATTCTTATCAGAGTCACACAGTGAGCTGAAAGGCAGCTGACAGAGACATGTCTACTTGCGTAGTCCAGTCACTTGCTGTCTCTACGTGTGAGAGGCCCTCTGGGAGGCAGTGACCTCAGAGCAGTGGTTTGTACAGCAAAACTTACTTCTGTGGCCTGACAGTAGGGAGCTTTCCCTGTGAAGCCTGTGTTATGGGACAGAATTATTTCTTAAACACTATTATTTGCTGCATACTATGCGGCAGCCCATGCCTTTATATCAGGTATTTTACCCTCTAAGTAAGCATCATTATAACAATAGGCAATGAAACTTTGTTTTGTTTTGTTGAGAGAGGGTCTCTCCATGTAGCCCTGGCTGGCCTAGAACTTGGAATGTAGACCAGACTGGCCTCAAACTTACAAAGATTCTCTTGCCTCTGCCTCTAACCTCAGCATTTGAGAGTCAGAGACAGGTGAATCTCTAAGTTTGAGATCAGCCTGGTCTACTTGAGTTCCAGGCCAGTGAGACCAATAAAACATTCCTTTCTACTGCTGTTTAGTGGCTCTAGACCTGCAGAACCTGTGGGGTCTCTGGGAATGACATGTGCTCTGTCTCCTGCTAGAACTGGCCTCATGGCTGTTCCTCTCCTCCTCACTGATCAATTCCTAGGAATTGCTACTTTTGTTCCCATCGAAGGAGCTGCTGTCGGGAGAGTGACTGATTCTTCCCACGGTATGAAAGGACCAAGAGTGTGCCATTTGTGTTTCTTCTATGAACTTACTATCTCCCCACCATAAACATGAGTTTACAGTTATTATGAGTGTCCCTGCTAAGAAAATGAAGCCTGGAGCAAAGGTTTTTAGAAGAGCCATGCATTTTCAACTCCCAAAGCAAACTCTTCAAACAGACCCTGAGTAAGTAGGTCCCCAGTGCCCCATCCTGGACCAGCCCAGGTATGTGACCTTGATTTATACCTAAGAATAGGAAGGCTATGGGGACCAAGGCACCTCCTCCCTTTCTATGATTCCAGAGCATTCTGTGTTGCTTTCTGCATCGTCTTCCTTCATACCTGGCCCTAGTCACATGAGAAATCAGCTTCAGTATCTGAAAAAGCCACGGACTCATCCTTAGCAAGCCCGTGCTTCTTCCAACAGGCCAAGAGGGTTGACTGTCCCACTGATGTTAGCGCTCCTTTCTGTCTTTGTTTACTGAGTCTTGGGTTGGTTGGTGCTTTTAATCTGTGAGTCGGCTAAGCTTTGTACCGTGGCCAGGCAAACTATCGGCTGCTAAGACAGGCTTTGACTCAATGCTCTTAATGCTCTTCATTTATATCTCTTAATGGCTCAAAGGTAATTACTCATCTCTTTGAGCATGTTACAAAGCAAACCGCTAAATGTTTAGTGAGCAGCTACTATGTGCAAGGGGTGGTATTGGGTGCCGTGTAGAATAAGATCTTCGGTGAAAGAGCCCTCACTGTATCAGGCAGCATTATGTGTCAAATGCAGAAGCTGTCTTTCCAAGGGTCTTTCATTTTGACTTTTTACCGGAGCCTGTGATTGGTGTTTGTGGCAGATCACTGAGGGCCTCTCTTGGCCCTCATTTGACCTTCCCTGTAGACCAAGTAGTTGAGAGCTGACCCACACAAAGGTAAGGCACTGAGAAGCCAGGGAGGTGATGCCAGAGTGGAGGGAGTCCCAGAAGTCAGGTCAGAGGGCTAGAGTCCCACCTCTATCTCCATAGCAACATCCCACGGCTGATGAGGAGGCTGTAACCACACCTTCCTTCCTGACAGCTGAATATCAGTCTTGATGGGGGTTTCTCAGGGGTAGTTACCACCACTCTAGGGTAAACCACAGGTTAGAGTCAGATTCAAGGACAGCCCCATGTCACCTCTGTTTTGCCATGTGACTTTGTCAAACTATTCTCTCTGTGCTCTTCGGGAAGTTACGACAGCTCCAGCGGATCTGTAGACTGAAGATAAATAAAACTACACGATCACACTTCTGTAAAGGGAGTTCGGGGAGACAAAAATCCTACTGTAATGTCCCACATCACTTTTGCAGAGTGGCATCCATTGAACCCAAGGACTTTGAAATGAGGGACAAATTCCCAAACACACAGGGGAGGAGGCATCTATTTCCATCGTTTCATGTGGTTTTTATTTATTTACAGAGTGCCATGGTTATTCATGATGCTTTACAAATCGTAAAAACAAGGTCTCCACCCTGTAGAATTTACAGTGTAATTTAAACATACACGCCGCATGGGCTGACAGGTCCGGCATGCCAGGGGGTGGTGGCGGTGTTGTATAACGCGGGTGTGGAGGGTTCCTTCTCCAGTTATAAATACTTCCTGGTTACGAGGCCCTTTCATCTGGGATCCCTGAGCACTTTAGAATACCAATAACCTCAATGGCTTTCTAAACGCACTTTCCATAAACTGCTGTGGGGACTGAGTAAATGCTTTTAAATGCCTATTAACTGATCCATGGATCTGCTCACTGTCCGTATTAAACAGCATGCATGTAAACACGATGATTTAGGAGAGGCCTGCCGTGGGTTGGGGGGCGTCTGCTCATAGATGACAACCCGGGGAGGCCTAGCTGCCTTGCCCTGGCCTTGAGAGGGCCACAGGGACACCTGGGTGTTTTCTCAAGTGAGATACTTGAGACACTAGACTGGAACAGTTGTCACTACCTCGTGTCCCATTCACTGTCTGTGGGCAAATCAGCATTTCCGAGTCTATAGGGCTCACGCCATGTGTGCGTGCGTGCGTGTGTGTGTGTGTGTGTGTGTGTGTGTGTGTGTGTGTCTGCCAGAGAAACAGTCGCCCCTCAGCTGTGGCTCTCACTCAGCTTCCTCCCCACTGCTCCACCAGGCTCCTCTGAGCTGTCTCACTCTCTGTTGAGCAATGCCATTTTTATTTTTATTTTTTATTTTTTGCAGCTGATGGAATTTCCCTTTCACCCAATGGTCAGATGGCAACCAACAAGTTCATTCAAGTCCAAGGGAAGACGGGCCTGGGTTACGAGTCCTGAGTGTTGACCCAGAGGTTCACGAGATAAGCACCCTCCTTCCTTCTGTTGCCTTTTACAAGGCTTTCAGACTTTCCTTTCAAAAGCCCCAGATGGAATCACATCGCCTCCCTGCTTTGAAGACCCCAGCTGAGTGGGCAGGAGGACCAGGAATTCCAGGTCACCATGACTACACAGCAATTTCAAGGTCAGCCCGGGTTATACGAGACCCAGTCTTGAAAGGAGAGTGCTGAGGAATAAAAGCCAGTGACTATATGACCTTCACGGCCATGGCCACCAGGGAGGTCACCCCTTGGCCACGTGCATGCCTCCTTCAATGGCTTCCCTCATCCTGTCCCCTCGCTGTCCTCACGTCTTCCCACTGACCTCCTTCCATGTCCCACCCTGACCCTTCTGTAGCCTTCCAGAGGCCCCCCGCCGTCCATGCCTTCCCTCTACCACCCCCCCAAACACCTTCTGTCCTCCACCTCTGGGAGCACAGCTGTCCTGTCTTTCAGGGATGGGGTGCTTTTCAAGACTAGGGCTTCATCTCAGCTAAAGTTACCACTTGGGAAGCTTTTGTCAAGGGTCTTTATGTTTTGAAGAGGTATTGAAGGGGAGGATAGGGATGACTGCAGCCTAAGACTCCTGGAAACTATCTACAGCCCTGGTTTTAAAGGATTTTGTCCTACTTCTTATGAGGAGATCATTTCAGGATATGCTGACCACCTAAGTTAGCAAGTGCTTGAGTCAGTTTTCAAATTTTTGCTATGCATTTGAAAAAAATTTAAGTGTGATCAAAAATAGAGAAGTTTACCTTTTCATTTGTTTGTTTCTCTGTGTAACCGCCCTAACTGTCCTGGAACTAGCTCTGTAGACCAGGCTGGCCTTGAACTCACGGAGATGAGCCTGTCTCTGCCTCCCGAGTGCTGGGATTAAAGGTGAGTGCCACCACTGCCTGGCCAGAAGTTTAGCATTTTTACCATATTTAAGTTAACAGTTCCTTGTAACTGAGAACATCCATCCTGTGGTGAGGCTATCTCCAGAAGCTTTCATTTTCCCAAACACAGTTTCCACAGAACACTGACTTTGCATTTCCCCCCCACCGCCCATTCCCCAGTCTCTAGCCACCACCATCCCTTCCTGGTTCACTGACTCTGAATACTCTAGAGATGCCCTGTAAGTAGCGCCTTCCTATATTTGACCAATATTGTCACTAGCTTATCTCATTTAGCACAATGTCTTCAGGGTTTATCAACAATGTAGCACACATCTGAATTTCTTTCTCTTTTTGTGGCCGAATAATGGTTTGTTGTATACTTATGTTGCCTTTTGTTCAATCATGGGTGTGTTGGTGGATACTTGATTGATTTCACATCTTACCTGTTTCAGTTGGTTGCTATGAACATGAGGAAGGCAAATTCTTGAGTCTGCTTCTAGAAACTCCTTTAGGGAATGTACCCAAAAGTAGTGGGCTTACTGGACAATGTGTCAATTATATGCTTTGGTTTTTGAAACAGTCATATATACCATTTTCCACAGAGGATGATCCATTTTATTTTGATTATTATTGTTTGCTTGTTGGGTTTTTGTTTGGGTTTTTTTTGTTTTTGTTTTTGTTTTTGTTTTTAACAGGATGTATTTGTGTAGCCCTGGCTGTCCTGGCTCTGTAGACTAGGCTGTCCTCAAACTCAGAGATCCACCTGCCTCTGCCTCCCGAGTGCTGGGATTAAAGCAAAGATGCAGCATTTTAAATGCACATTGATGTACATTTACATTTTTGAGTTCCCCATCCCTCACCAACACTGGCTATTTTATGTTGCTTTGTTTGGTTTACAGCCTCCCAGGTGCTAAAGTGTTACCTTACTGTTGATTTGACTAAACCCAGTTTTGAACCTCTGCATTCACGATCTTAATTCCTCCAGATAAACTCAATCTCACAGCAGGAGGTCTTACACTAGGAGATCTGAGCCTGCCCTGGGGGCTGGGGCCTTGTGGTGGAGCCCTGGGAAGGCTCCACAGGGAGGGAACTGATGGGTAGGTAGGCCCGCAGGTTGTTGCACTTCTGAATACCTACCAGCAGGGGGCGCCTCCACGAGCTGTTTGTCTTCCCTCGCCAAAACTGGGTCCTAACCAGCAACAGAGCCCTCTGACTTCCAGGCCCCCCCTCTAGCTTGTTTTGTGCTGTCTCTGCATCAAAGAGAAGCAAGTGCTAAGTTCCTAACAGGGTGCCAAGTGATATTCATTATGCAAAACAGTCACACCTTGCAGGACATTTAACATCCTAGGTCCAAGAGTGGTGTAGTTTGGTCCTGGTGTGTGTGTGTGTGTGTGTGTGTGTGTGTGTGTGTGTGTGTGTGTGTGTGTGTGTGTGATATGTGACAACTAAAATGTTCCCCACTGAGAAGCAGGAATGTAAAGGAAGCCAGAACTTCCTGGTATCTCCCAGTCACTCATGCAAAGCAGTCATTAGTAAAATGAGGCCTCCTGTCTAGTTCAGGGTATCCTGGGGCACAGCCAAGGAACACATCACAGATGACTTACGGTGACCTAGAGGACTCCCTGAGTTTGTTAATAGTTGACTGGGACAGCCTCACATGCCAGGGGAAAGGGAAGACACTTGTTAAAAACAAGATGAACACACATCAAAAAAAAAAAAAAAACCCACCTCAACATGGCTTCCCACCACCTCCATACCCCCAGGACTTGGTATGTGAGTCTGGTCCCTTCAATGTCCAGTGGACAGTCCCCCCTAACCCCCCCACCCCCAGCCAGTGAACTAGCAGTGCCTTTGCCTGGGTTAATGGACTTCATTTCCCTATGCTGCCATAGCAACCAGGAAACAACCTCCATTCACAATGAGAAGGATGGTGCCTTGGCCCAGATTCGCAGATGCACGGGACCTGTAGCAGAGCAACCAGGTCTCAGGGACAACAAGGGCTCGAGTTGCAGAGAGTGCACAGCCTGCTGTCTGGAGCCATACGGTTTTGTTTCTTCTCTCCACAAAGATGCACTCTGTTTAAACGGTGTGGCCGGATGTTCTGGGTTTCTTTAAGAGGGGAAACATATTTCATAAAAGGCCCAATGTTCATGGTCTCCTTTGGTGCACGCTTGAGCTTTGGAAACCCTGAGTTGTGACCAGTTTTCAGCCTTCAAAACGAGATGAACCGTCCTTGAGAGGGAGTAGTCAGGAGGAAGCATGCTCACTCTCTCTCTCCTGAGCCGGGGACACGGGAAGTTGGTCCAGAACACACAGAAGCTGGAAGTCTATTTTGAACCAGAGGTGAGTCTGAGAGCTGGCGGGGGGAGCGCACATTTTGAGCATGGGGAGGAACGCTCTGTCTTTCTAAGCTATGTTTTGGTTTTCCACAATTGCCACGGAAATGCCCTGCCTTGCTTGCACTCACTCCCTACTGCCTTTGCTTGGGCCTGGAGGAGAATCTAGATGGTCTGGAGCCTGGACATTTGGTTCAAGACCAGAATTCCCACCTGGTCTGTAGGAGAAATTTGGAGAACCTACTGTTGTTGGCTTTTAGGAGCCATGCCCAGGGGTTGAAATACTGTATTTTGCCTTCCAATGGCTTTTTTGAACTTTGTGGAATTCAGCCCACAGGATTCATATTTAATGGAGGCCAAAACAAATCTCATTTTAGAAGATTTTAAAGAGGTGGCAAAAAGTCCCTTGTTGTGCTGGGTTTTTTATTTCTTCGGACTGCTAGGAACAATAAACACATTGGGGGAACCTTGTAAATTCTTGGGTCAAACGGAGATCTCCTTCGTCGTGGCAGTTTGCCACGATACTTGACCTTCACTGGGTTAAAAGATGAATAAAGTTTCAAAGGCTTTCAGTGGTCAATGGCGTACACTTATAAACACATAGTTCCCTTATTAGGCAATGTTCCATGGGCTGGAATGTATAGATAGCCTCTCTGTGCATAGCTGAAACGGTAGTGGGTTGGAATAGTTTCTCATATTTAAACTGCTCACTGCTCCAAGTCTAACTGCCAAGTCATCTGCTATCCTTGATTATTCTGACTACTTGCTTGTGTACCAGGAGATGTAGCTCACCTGTAACCTTCCCTGGGCTCTGCCGAAAGCCTGTAGGCGGGTACGGCTCTTCTGAAGGTTGTGTGGAATAAAGTGGATTTAGGTAGTAGGTTCTACTAACTTTTGTTATTGTGTGGGGCTTGTGTGTGTGTGTGTGTGTGTGTGTACTTTAAGATTTCTTTTTATTTTTAATTAAATAGGTATGGATAGGACTGTAGCCCATAAAGTGAAAGACAAAAATTGATGCCCACATGCTGCCCTCTGACCTGTATCCATGCCATGGCACATGTGTATACATGTGCACACATAAATAATACACAGTTTAGAAAGCCAAAAACTTTGCACAGACACTATTTGCTGCAGAAGGGTCTTCCACGGTGTCTCAATCAAGGCATTTTCCTTCTCCCTTAAAGGACTACTTGAACTGGAAGTCCCCGGAAGACTATGTCCTGGTCAGCAAACCCCAGAATGGGGACAGTGGTAGCCAGCACTCCTGGAGCCTCTTTCTTCCTAAGACCTTCAGCACCAGAAAGGGGGCCCTGATCCTGTACTCAGAGGGGCTAGCTGTGTCAGCATGGACACCCAAAGAGAGGCGAAGAGGTCACAGGAAGAAGCCAGACCTTGAATTGCACACGCTTCAAGACCTCAAAGAAGCCATCTTGGCATATGGAAGGAGACAGGTGGGTTTGGAAGAGGAGTCGGTGATGTGTGCATAAATGTGGCTGCAGTTTTGAATGTAACCTCTTGGTCCCAAGGGAGGGAAGGTACGAAACTCAGACCCCAGGTTTGTCATCTTGTCCCATATGCCAAGAACTCCTGCCATGAGTCTCACAGATCATACATGGGGAAAGCTTCAAAGGTGAAAAGGATTTACCCAGGCTGTGAACAGAACCCTCGAAACCCTGCCTCATAGCCACGGACATCATCTTTCGACCTCTGGTGTTCCTAGCTTGTGGAAATGAAAACACCTTTTAAGTATTTGCCTTGAGCCTTTCGCCACCTGCAGAAGTTAACTACTTTTTCCGTTCTGCATTTACTATCAAGGGGAATCTCTGCTGTCCCCTGACTCTCACGATCTGATGTGTTGAGATGCACACAGACCCTGAGACAGTCTGTGATGATGTGCCACTCTGAAGTTCCAGTTTGGAGATGGGGGGTTACTCCCCAGTTTAAAAGTCTCTCAACTCTAGCCGGGCGGTGGTGGCGCACGCCTTTAATCCCAGCACTCGGGAGGCAGAGGCAGGCGGATCTCTGTGAGTTCGAGGCCGGGCTGGACCGATAGCCTCCGAAACAATACAGAGAAACCCTGTCTCGTAAAAACAAACAAACAAAAAAAGTCTCTCAACTCTAGCAAAACTTTAGCTTGGGACACCAGGCCCTTCACACACTGGCTCTCTCTTCCATGTGTAGCCCTGTGTCCCACTCTTCATCCCACCACCCCATGATGGACCCCTCAAGGCCCCTCCTAATGCAGACTAGCTCACACCACCAACCCCTTTCTCAACTAAACGTTTATGCATGCCGCTAGATAACTCTCACACATTCTTCTAAACACAACGTGTGCCCTCACAGTCTTCTCCCACTCCCCTGAGAGAAGTACACCCTGGCTTCCTCCTTTGCAAACACCTCCATCTCATTGTGCATTGGAAGCTAATCTCTTAGAGCATCCAAAGGTAAACGTCTCCTCTAGGGCAAGCACTGCGTGAACTGGTTGTGCATGATTTCAGTGTCTCTTAGCTTGTCTCCCGCTTTGATTACCAGGCACCGTAATCACGTATGCTACTGTAGGCAAACACCCTCCAAAAGGAAAGCCTCTCCTGTCCCCTCGCGCTCCAAAGTAGACGGATGTAACGGCCTTGACCAAACATCCCACTGCCCTTTACCTTGAAATCCTAGTCCAGCATCCAGCGGACAGGCCCACACCAGTCCCAGGCTCTTGTGGGTAACCCTCAACCCTGCCCTTCTCCTTGTCCTTCTCGAATAGGGTGGACTAACTCCTGAGATTGCAGAGCTCAGTGTTGTCTCAATATCTGTCTGTTTGAGTTCTGCACACCCAATCACCTGTGTAAGAAATGTCCTAACTTAAGTTCTTTCTGTGTTTAAGGTTTGTTTGTTTGTTTGTGAGGGTACGCATGCCATGGCTTCAGAGTTCTCAGACCTCTACAGGCTTCCTCTGGGTTTTTGTTTTGTTTTAAACCAAGGGAAAGTTAAAACCTCTCCCGACATCTTTCACGCATTCAGTGTCTCCACATTTAGAAGTCACTTTGCTGTAAACGCAGATAGTCATAATTTGGGTCTATTTTTAAATGAAAATCACAGCTATGATCTTGAAGCACAACCGAATTCTAAAGAGTTTCTAAAATTGTCCCATAGACTAATTTTCAGACTGTTTCCTTATTTCTCGCTCTTACGTTTTCAAAATTTTATGAATCCATTGCCAATTTTCTTTTCTTTTTTTTTCTTTTCTTTTTCTTTCTTTTTTTTCTTTTTTCTTTTTGGTTATTAAAGACAGGGTTTCTCTGTGGCTTTGGAAGCTTTCCTGGAACTAGCTCTTGTAGACCAAGCTGGTCTCAAACTCACAGAGATCCACCTGCCTGTTCCTCCCTAGTGCTGGCACTAAAGGTGAGCACTACCACTGCCCAGACTTTTAAAATGTCCCCTTTAGCTTTGTTCTCCAGTCTAGCTGGCCCAAAGGCTCCCATCTCTACCTCCCATCTCACCATAGGAATGCCGGGATTACAGATGCGGTATCCAGATCTTTCACATGGGCTTCAGGGGTCAAACTCAGGTCATCAGGCTTGCACAGCTAACACCTTTACCTGCTGAGCCATCTCCCTGGCTCTGGAGAATGTTTATAAGTAATGACTAATACTGAGAACTGCTACACCTGTTATCATTCTAATTGTGTTTCAGCCTTATTCAATTCTCACAACTTTATACTATTTTTCTATCGTGTTTAAGCATACACACATTTTAGCCTTTTTATGTGTACGACATACTGGCATTAAATACATTCACATTACTGTACAACTATTACTGCCATCTCTTCCACACTGAAAAAAATTACAAAACTGGGGCTCAGGGAGTCAGCTTCAAAGACACCAGGTCTCCCCCATTCAGCTGGGCTAAGAACCAACCAACCAGCACCCAGGACAATGCCTAACACGTAGCATATAAGGGACAGATAGCAGCTGAGTGAGCATATTCATTGCCAGTGTTGTTGTGGGGAACCGCAACCTTCACCAACAGGAGTGTACAGCCTGGTGAAGAAAGCTAATTTATGTCTCAGTGCCACTTGACACAGGCAATCTTTGATACAAGCTGCAGTATAACTTACTAATATGCTAGTAAATTAAAGAGGGGGAGCTTTGTGACTGTTGTATTATTATTTAATTATATTTTTGGGCACAGTGAGATGCTTCAATACACATCTAAAATGTTGTGATTAGCCACACCTTTAATCTCTGCACTTGGGAGGCAGAGACAAGTGGATCTTTGTGAGTTCCAGACCAGCCTGGTCTACAAGAGTTAGTTCCAGGACAGCCTCCAAAACCCCAGAGAAACCCTGTCTTGAAACTCCCTCCCCGCCCCCCAAAAAAAACTGTGTAGTGATCAAATCAGGAGAGTTAGCATCCCATATAACATTCAAACATCCTGCAGTTACCATTTCATCTAGTTTCCCTTAAACATTGTCCTAAACCTCTTTTTTAATATAATTTTTCAATTATTTTATTATTGTGGGAGTTTCCCTAGCATGTATATCTACGAATCATTTGCATGCAGAACCATCCAGGCCAGAAGAGAGCATCAGAGTCCCCAAAACTGTTACAGATAGTTGTGAGCTGCCATGTGGGTGCTGAGAACTGAGCTGAGATCCTCTGGAAGAGCAGCCAATGCTCTTAACCACTGAGCCATCTCTCTAGTTCCTGTCTTTTTGCTTGTTTGCTATTTGTTTTTCGAGACAGTGTTGCTCTATAGTTTTGGAGCCGATGTTGGAACTCACCCTGTAGACCAGGCCAGACTCGAACTCACAGAGGTCCTCCTGTCTCTGCCTCCTGAGTGCTGAGATTAAAGGTGTGTCCCACCACCACCCGTCTCTAGTCCTTGTCTTAAACCTCCTATTAAGCCAGTACAGTGTCCTGCATTGATAGTCCCACATACCCAGTTGGCTGAGGCAAGAAAATCTTTTAAACCCAGGAGTTTGGGCAGCATAGTAAGTCTTTCAAAACCCAGAACCAGAAACAATAACAAATAATCATGTGCACATTAATTTTTGACTCACACACAATGACTATGCAGATTGATGAGGTATGGTGTGGTCATGTCTGCTTACACTTATATGTGTGCAAATAGGATAGCTGGCATTTGGCCTGGCCTAGCATCATCTTCTGTTTGGGGTCTTTGAGTTTCTCCCTGCTAGTTCTGGATGAAACAGGTAGTTGCTTCTTGTGAGCGACAGCCACCACACTGTGCTACAGAACACCAGAACTTTCTCTTTCTGTGTCCTCCCTACCTCCTCCTAACACACACTTCTAATCTCACTTCTCTACAGTCTGGTTTACCTCTCATAGCCTCCACAGGTGAGGGGCTCTCTGCTGGTGTCAGGCAGGGAAATGAACTGTGAATTAGGTGACAATGAAAACCTTCTAGAGAAGTCTAATGCCAGGCACTGTGTTGCCAGCATATTTAAACTTGGTAAAATTTAGGGGGGAATAGTTTTCTGGTGTAATAATACAATTCCCAGGGCACAAAAAGCATAATTACATCGAAACTAGACTCAGGGGACTTGTCACTTCTTCCAAGAAGATAGGTTCTAGAGATAGGCGACCTGTACTAGCTTAAGGGCCTAAGGAAGGATCTGGTCTGGTCATAAAGATATCTAGAGGTCATTTGGGCTATTAGCCACCTCTGGTCCTGGTTGTGGGAGCTTGGGTGCCCCCTGGCTATATAGATAACATAAGGGTCATTTGGATTATTAGGCATCTCCGGTCCTGGTTGTAGGAGCTTGATATGGCCTAGCCCAACAGATAACACAACTCCCCAGGCTGTTAATCACCTCCAACCCCAGCTTTCTGAATGAAGAACCGGTTCTACATCCATTCCTCTGAGAGGACAATCCTGTGCGATTAACATTGCTGGTTTTCCTGGAGATCTGTGGGTGCAAGGACCTTCGTGCAGGCTCCCAACACACATGGGAGAAAAACACCCATTCATCTGTTGATAGGCACCTAGGACAATTCTATATCTTAGCCATTGGTCCCCAAATAAATATTAGAGCACAGGTATGTGACTTTATTTTCTTCAGGCACAGCCGAGTAGTGGTTATGTAGCGGATCTGTTTTCAGAGTTTGCATAGACAGCCACTCTGTTCTCCTTTGTGGCTATACTGATTTACACCCCCATCAACACAGATAACACTTCCCTCTGCTCCGTATCTCACGAGTATTTGTTATTCGGTCATTTTTGTCATTTTTTATTGTTTGCTTTTTGGTTTTTATTTATTTCATTTTTTGTCCTTTTTAAAGACCAGATCTTGTATCTGTTCTCAAACTTACCGTGTAGCTGAGAATGACCTTGAACTTCTGACCCTCTGGCTCCTATCTCTAGGGGGTTAGGGTCACAGATAAACAAACTCTGTCTGGCTTGTACAGTGGACATAGAACCTCAGGCCTCAGCATAC